GCCGGCGGAGCGCGGAGCCGCCCCGCGCCCTCTGCCGGCCGCAGGTCCGCCCCAGCCCGCGTCCTAACGAAGTGTGGGAAAGGAGGCCCGAACTCGTCCCCTCCCCTCCAGAACTCTTCCCCTCCCTTGACTCCCCTCGGGTCGTTTCTCTGACTGCTGCGGGGAAGCGGCCTCGAACCCCTGCGAGCCGAGAGCTAGGCCGCCCAGCCTGCAGCCTCCCGCTGTTCTTTCTCTCTCAGGGAGCCTTGTGAAGCGCCAGAGGCCGAGTAGACGGGGGAGGAGTCGGTTCTGGGCCTACTCGCCTTTAATGTGTTGCATTACTTTGAGCAAGACACATCCCGCGGGCCTCGTTTTTTTATTCTGTAAAATTGGGAGGTAGTTGCCTAGATGATTTCACAGGCTATTAGACAAGGGAAAAAGAAAGATAATCTGCCCCCTTCGTTTTACAGTCGAAAAGAAGTGACTGACAAGTCTGGCTCTGCAATTCCATGAATTACCTAAAATGTCTGTCATTCACAGATCTTTCCTCTCAAGGGGGCCCACACCTTTCTTCTTTTCTACCTTTTTTTCTTATTCTATAATAGAAGTGCTACTTGCAAAAGTAGAGTGTGCCTTGTCAATAGAGGAATCAAAGAGCGGCTGAACCGCCTCTCTGAGCGTGTTGATAGCCTTATCTGGACCTCATCTCTCATCCCAAATTCTAGCAATGTAATACCTGTCTCTCTTTCTGGGTTGTCCCAAGGATGAATTAGTCACTGGCTGTGCTGCGTAAAGTGTACATCCATCCTTTCCTTTCCCGCATTCGTATCCCCGTTTAGTGCTCTTAACCTTCCTCAATCCTGCCCTGCTGATGCTGTCTTCCAGGATTTTCTGTCTTCCTGTGTTTTCTACCCTAAATTAATCTCCATAAATCCCTAAGCCCTTCACAACTTTCTACTGATACCTGACTGCCTCAAAAAAACACTAACCTCCCTGGCACCTCTTTCAAACAGCTGGCAACTTCTTCCATAGGTAGGTCCTCTGTCGGTTGTTCACTACCATGTGCTATATTACCATCCCCCTTCCTGTCCTGGTCAAGCTAACCGAACCACCTCTATCCTACACTCCCACATCCATTCATATATTCCTTCATTTGTTTGCATTCATTCCATTGATTCTTGTCAAAGATCTACTACAGCAGCCCTAGGTACATTTCCTGAGCTCTAGCCCTCACCTGCATTAGCATTACCTCTAGCCACCTCCAGTTATTATTATTGGGGTTGGAGGAGCCCCCATCCCCTTCCTCTCACCCCTAATAATAGCTAGAAATAATAGCAGGAGTATATATCTAAGACATTCACCTTCTGCAAGATCTACTTCCCAGTCTAGTCCAATCCAGACTGTGCAAAAGTACCTTTGCTCTGGCCTCTGGTACCCACAAATGAGCCACCTGTTCAGGATGTTCCTAGTAACTGAATGCCAAATCTAGTGGGCACTTCAACCCTCCCCTCACATGGCCTCCTCTCAACCGTACTTGGTACTGCTAACTCCTTTTTGAAACTCTCCTCTCCTTCCCTGTCTTCAACATGGTTCCGTCTCTCTCTATTTTTTGAATTTCCCTTCTCTAGTACTTTTCTTGGCTGCTTTCTTTTTTAGGAGGCCATAAAATGGTGGGCTCCGCAAAGTTTTTTTTAATTTTCTTCCTCTCCTCTCACTCAGGTTGACCCCGTTTATTTCCACAGCCTCAACTGTTAATAACTCCTGCATCTCCTTCTTCCAGCCCCCACACTCTGCAGCCTAGTCTCTTAATTATCCTTAAAACATCTTCAAGACACACGGTGCTAAGATTCTGTTGAGTGACAAATGAAACTTAAGGTATTATTTATATTGCCATAATCGTTCATGGATGCTAAAGAAAGAATTCCTTTTCTAGGGTGGTGTTACTTCTTAAGTGAGACTCTGACTTTTTTCTTCTTCCTCTTGGAGTCATAATCACTTTCTAAAGCAGTTATAATACCCTTTTAAATATCTCCAATTTGTCATCTTTTCTGTGGTCATATTCAACTTCTCTCAATCTCTGTCTCCTTTTACTAAACAGACCCACTCCCTTAACTTCAATTAGTACCCTCCCAGGAACTCTAAATAAGAGGAGGAAAAAAATGATTAGATTTACTTCCTGAACTCTAGAGTAGGCTTTCTGAAATTCATTTACGTTAGCTATGTAAGTGGAAATTGCTTTACTCCCAAAGTACAATGCCAATCAACTAGTAGGACTGATCCCAACTAAATGAAAGTGCTTTGAAGAGATTTTTTTAATGAAAATGTAAAGGCAGCATTTAACGTTTATAGTGTAGATGGGACTGGTTTCAGACCAGGCCCTATTGACTTGTACATTAATAATAATCCTTATAATATACCTATTGAATTTTCTCCAAAGCATAATAGATTTCCAATTCTATAAAATATATGGCTAGAGTACATGAAATCACTCCAGGTACTGAGGCAAGAACTGATTTAACTTTGACACTCTTTTTTTTTAATTGTTTTTATTTTATAATAATGGTACAGATTCATAAAATATTCAAAAAATAGTGAAAAGCACCCAAAAGGTAAAAAATTAAACTCCATAGAACCAGAGAAAAACATTTTTCCATGCATCACTTTCTGTATCTTTGCACATATATAGTATGTGTATTCAATTTTACATAAAAATAAAATTACACTATAAATTCTCATCAGTACTCTTGTGTCTTTTACTATACAATGTATTTTCATCATTAATAGTTGAATACTTTTTTTTTTTTCTTTTTTGAGATAGGATCTTGCTCTGTCACCCAGGGTGGCGTTTAGTAGCTCCATCATAGCTCAAAGCAGCCTCAAATTCCTGAGCTCCAGCAGTCTTCCTGCCTCAGCCACTCAAGCAGCTGGGACTATAGGCATGAGCCCCATGCCAGGCTAATATTTTTAACTTTTATAGAAAACAGATCTCATTATTGCCCAGACTGATCTTTGACTCCTGACCTCAAGCAACCCTCCCACCTTCTTGGCCTCCCAAAATGCTACAATTACAGGCTTGAGCCACCATGCCTAGCCAAATACTCAGGCATTGTGTAGTTTTTAGCCACTTAACCAGTCCCTTCCTAAAAATGTTTATGTTGTTTCTATTTATTATGTGTTTATTTTTGTAAATCATGCTATAATTCTAATGTATGCCTCTGTGCAATTTGGAAATTATTTCTTTTAATTCCTAGAAGATTAATTGCTGTCTGAAAAGGCACATCTTTAATCTTTTACTATATATTTATCAAACTGACCTCCAGAAAAATTGGTCCTACCAATCTATGGTCATCCCTACAGTGCATGAGCCTGCCCCTTCCCCATAAACAATGAGCTCTAGATTTTGTCAGTTTTAGTTTGAATAGTCTTTAATTTCTTTCTATATTTTGTTGAAGTATAAATGTTAAGAAGACTATGTTTAGCATTAGGCAGGCCCAAATTTGAAATGGCTATGACTTAATAGCTGTTTGACTTTGAACAAACAACTTCAACATCTCCAAGCCTCAGTTTCCCAATCTGTAAAATAGGATTCTAGCACTTGTCGGATTGTTGCAAAGATTAAATTAAATAATGTATACAAAGGATTCCCTACAATGTTAGACATTTGGGATTCCCCATGAGAAAGTAAAAAATAGCTCACACTGAGAAGGTAACAATCTGCCTAACTATTCATCAAGCTAGAATAATAGGCACAGATAAAGCCAACTGCAAAGTTAACGGTATGCAGTGTCTCCTAAGGACACACTGCAGCTGTAAATAACCCCCGGATTCTACTGCTTTCTTATTAACTGCTGCTTTCCTACTCAGAATCTTTGTCCTCTAAAATCATAGATATTGGAAACCTTGGTGTTTGTAAATATATCAGTAAGAAATGCAGGATACTTCTCTCGGCTGGTGACTCAAGCTCCTTTTTGACAAAGATGCAGCCTTAATTTGCAAACTAGGCACAGTCCTGGGGATAAAAAGTTTCTGGATACAGTATTTTATCTCTATCTGAACTTCATTGTTACCAAACCACAGGATTTTGAGCCCACTTGGCAGTCCAGACTAGATATTGACCCCTTTACACACAGCCATGCTTTGAGTATCCAAATTTCTGCTTTACTTTAAAGCATGTGTTATTAAGTAAAAGTAGGTATTACATATACATAGAGTTTTATTTGGATCATCTTAGAAATTTCCTTTTAACAATTTAAAAATAATATTTGTTAAGTTAGCTCTCTTTAAGCAAATTGAATGGTTTTTGCCAACACGTGATACTGATTTTGGATTGTTTCTCCTTTTTTGAAAGCACTTACTATTTATTAACTGAACAGATTGCAAAAATAATCATGGTAGATACCTTAGTTCATTCTTCTAATAAGCCTGTTGATCTGGCCTTCCCTATTGCCTGCATCTCCACCTTCTACAAAGTGGGTTATCTCTTTCTTCAGTCCACCCCATGGAGATAACTTCAAGGGCCACAGGAAGTTATTTCCTTCTTTGAAGCATTTCCCAACAGTATAGATCTCATGAATCAGATTCCATGCAGATGATGCCATATTTACCAAGAGATCAAGCAATCAAACTGTTATCCATCAACACAATTCACTTCTTATTGATTTTGCTGTAAGCACACATAGATAAGCTCATTTACTGTCTTCAGGTTTGGGTACCCCCATGCTCTATATGGTCTTAGCATGTTAATCAGCGCTTTGTTGAGCTTAACAAAGGTTCCATTGAAGATCTGGTGAAGGCAAAGAAGCTGCAACCCTTTTTA